TGCTCTTGCTGCCCTATCAGTTCGATCTCCACCAGTGGGAGTGATCAAGAACAGTTCTTGATATTGCCTTTTGGTAGAAAAGGCAATCTGAAGTCGTGCTCACCTGCCCTCCATCACATTCTTGCTGAAGAATTCGGTTCTTGCTGAAGAATCGTTCTGCTGATTCTATTTCACCACACACCGTGTCATCTTCAGTGGAAGCAGTCTTTGGTTCTCCCCTTGGGCGTGAACACCTTCATTGGGAGTTACTGTTACTCCGTATCAGGTATACCCTCTCCTCCCTTTTGGTTTCAGTTCTGGTCCGGTTTGGTTTCAAGATTGATCATTGAAAATGCAGTTTTCTAAAATAGGGAATGTGATTCCCACATGGGAGCGAGAGAAATTTTTGAAATTTCGCCCAACCTTCCTACAGGGTTCAGCCATCCATATGATGGATCCCTCATCCCTTCAGCAAATGGGTTTATACAGTCAAATACAAGGTAGATGGAAGTATAGAAAGGTATAAGGCAAGATTGGTTGCAAAAGGGTACAGTCAAACCTATGGCATTGACTACTTAGAGACTTCTACACCAGTTGCAAAAATGAACTTTGTTCGGATCCTTCTCTCTCTTGCTGCTACATACTCTTGGCTCCTTTTCCAACTTGATGTGAAAAATGCCTTTCTTAATGGGGATCTGCAAGAAGTATATATAGATCTTCCTGCTGGTTTCTACAGTGGTGCTGAAAAGGAAAAGGTATGCAGATTGAAGAAGTCTCTTTATGGTTTGAAATAGTCACCAAAGCATGGTTTGACGGGTTCAAAAAGGCCTTGATTGCTTTTGGCTATACTCAGACTCAATCATACCATACTTTGTTTGTGAAGCGGAGGGGGTCCCTTGTGTCAATTCTGATAGTTTATGTGGATGATGTTGTAGTTACAGGAAATGACCTAAGTGAGATTGATAGTTTGAAGAAGAATCTACATAGAGAATTTGAAATTAAGGATCTTGGGGAGCTGAAGTATTTCTTGGGCATTGAGGTAGCGAGATCAAAGTATGGCATCTTTATCTCACAGAGGAAGTATGTTCTGGACCTTTTACAAGAGGTAGGGAAACTTGGGACAAAGGCAGCTAGTACTCTTATTGATTAGAATCACAAAATTAATGCATCAGACCAGACCAGACATCTGGGGCGATTGTTATATTTATGTATGACAAGACCAGACATCTCTTATGCAGTGAGTGTGGTGAGTCAATACATGCATGCCCCTCGAGTTCAGCATTGGGGCTATTGATAGGATTCTTGCTTATCTGAAGGGACACCCAGGTAGAGGTATACTATTTGTTAACCGTGGACAGTTGAATCTAGAGGCTTACACAGATGCTGATTGGGTTGGATGCCTAGATGACAGGAGATCTACATCAAGAGTCTGCACTCTTGTTGGAGGCAATCTGGTTTCGTGGAAAGGTAAGAAACAAATAGTTGTGGCAAGATCAAGTGCAGAAGCTGAATACAGAGCCATGGCACATGGAGTTTCAGAGCTTCTCTGGATCCAGTCCTTGTTAGGAGAAATTGGTATTGAGGCAGAAGAACCTATGATGATGTACTGTGATAATCAAGCAGCAATTAACATTGCTCACAACCCAGTTCAGCATGATAGGATAAAGCATAATGAAGTGGACAAACATTTTATAAGAGAAAGGATGACTCCAAGGGATGTTTGTCTTCCGTACATTGCTTCTGATTTGCAGTTTGCTAATATTCTTATAAAAGGTGTTGCAAGAAGCAAGCTGGAGCATGATCTACGCAAGTTGTGAATGTGTGGCATCTACTCCCAACTTGAGGGGGAGTGTTGAGATTGGGCCGAATTTATGTTATTTGGCCCAGCTTTGTTTTATTTTTATTTACTTAATTCAGCTAGGAAGTTATTGGGCCTTAGGCCCATTAGTTTATGTTAAGTTGTGACTATTCAGCTACTTCAAGTAGTCGACCTACTAAGGGTATCATTGTACTTTTCTATTCTTTTTATAAAGTATATAAATCAAAAGGGGGGTGACCAGATCTATTCAATTCTGGCGACACCCCATTATTTTCTCTTCTTCTTCTCTTCTTTCTCTTGCTTAAACTCTTCAACTTCTTTTCTTCACAAAGGTCACACTAAAACAACTTTCAGCAACTTCTACTACTTATTTCCTCCACTGAAAAGAAGTTGGTCATCTAGGTTTAGGCATCCAAAACCTAGTCTATTTTATAATTCACAACTTGGCAATGCTTTACATCATGTACAAATTTCTCTCATAATCACAAAGATAAATAAGCAAATGTTTCTTGAACGTCCAATCAACTATTGTTCTTAGATCATTACATATTCATGACAGGTGAAGAATCCTTAACGAGATTTGCCATTGGGTATTGGGCTTTCACTGTCTATATGTTGTGTCTTGTATATGCTGGTATCCACTGTTATTATTGGCCTGGTACCATTCTTTGCCCTGGATCCAGACATCCCGGTATCTTCTGCCTTTTCTAGCCATGGGATGCAGTGGGCAGTGTAGGTTCAAAAAAGCATTATTTTTATCTTTAATCATTATTGCAGTTTGGATGCAAAATTGAGAAAATTTTTGGGTAAAGCTTATTGGTTTCAGTTTTTCATTTGTTGGTTTTAATTGTAGATACATAATCACAACTGGAGCAATTACTGCACTTTGCTCAACCCTTATGGGTTCATTACTTCCTCAGGTAAGTAATTGCTATAAAAAGCAAAATGGATATTACATTACTGTTTTGTAATGATTCTTTCATTTATCTAGTTAGTGCATGCTTGAATTTTGTTTTTATTTATTTTTTGTTGTAAATGGTAATGTAAACTGCTGTTGTTAAATGCCTATATATTCATGGTATAATTCTCCAATATATGTTGGGCCCTAGTGACAATGTTTTGACACTCAAATAAAATGGAATTGGTACTTGCCAATGATGCAATATTATATGTTTTGTTGTTACCCACCCTATTCATTATCCAAGCTGTGCATCATTTCTACCTTTATCTATAAGAACTCCAAAACAAGATTTTGTTTACTGTTTTTTTTTTTTTCTTTTTTTTTTGGGGGGGGGGGGTGTAGGGGACTGGAAATTTACCTTAATTTATTGACAAAATAGTCTATATGATGATGACAACCTGCAATTTCCAGATACCTTCCATTCAACAAAACTTCATCAAGATATCACATTAATATTAATACTGGATACTCCATTGGTTAGTCCAGTACAATATGTTTTTCATATTACCTATTTTACTGAAGTTATTTCCTTAGTTCATTTTTTATTATTTTTTTGATAACATAAATAAATAGTATATTGTCATATCTTTCCCTAAACCTTACTCATATTAGAAGTTTAGTTTATTTTGGCATTTTTCATAAAAAGTAGATAATCTTAAAAACTTCAAATTTAGTATGATATCATTACTATAGATAGGATAATAAGTTCGAAGCCAAGTGGTCGTGTATAGAATTTTCCAAAAGTTTTATGCATTTCTACACTTTTAGATAGCATATTTGTTTTGGTCATTTTATTTTCCATCTATAGGATGTACCCTTGAATTTTGATTTGTCTATTATGATTGGTTTATACTTTTAAAATTTTAGAGCCATTGATTAAGTAGTTGAGGAGTTAGTAGGTTTCTTATGATAGTTTCAATCATGTTCCATGTTTATGTGTAAAATCGCAAAAATGTTGTAAACACTATTTGAATGATTTTTTCTTCATATTATGCTTATGCGAGCAGTTCCCATAAATCCTATAGTTGGTTCTAGGTCCTTTGTTAAGTGGTTCTGGATTTTCACCCTTTCTATTTTTATTTTTCTCCAACTCTGCAAGAAGCCATTATGGATATCTTAGTAGAAAGAAAAGAGAAGGAGAAGAGAAGGAGAAGAAGAGAAGAAGAGAAGTTGAAAGAAAAGAGACCAATAATCTGGCCACCCCCTTCACTTATTATTTATACTAAAATAATAGAACGGTACAAAGACAACTATGCCCTTATAGGGCGGCAAAACATAAA